ATGTTTTCTATACGCTGAGACGGGTCGGTGTACATTGGATTTCATACTATGGAGGCATATTCAAGGCGAGAGCGAACTAGACTATTGTAGAGTATAATTTTTGTATTGAGTTCATTGAAATTACGCATGTTTCGTCTAATAAAACCATTGACTTACAAATAAATGGACGACGGGTCTAATACAAAAAACCACGAAAAAAATGTCCCAAGTCAACCTATTCGAAATTTAAATTGTAATGTCATCGCAGTATCGCGCTGTCAGTAGAACAAATGAAGACTAAAGCGGAGTGTAGCGCTCTGTATACGATTTTAGCGCCTTACAAGTGCGGACACTTTTTAGCGCGGACCCGACGTCCATATAATTGTAAGTCAATGAATAAAACCCAACATTCGCACTGCCTTATGAATAATTTTATCAATGTGCACTAAATTTTAGTTTGCTGTCTATAATGACTCCTAAGTCACGGACTCATTGACCTTAGTTAATAGTTCACCATTCAACTGATATGCAGATGCAACAGGTTTTAATCTTCTTGTGAACGAAATGTGTTAACATTTACTAGGATTGAGGACCATACCATAGGATAAACACCATTGTGTTATTTTATTTAGGTCATTTTGGAGAATTATTACGTCGGTGTGAGGATATATCATTAATAAAAATTAGAAATAGACACAACAACGATTTGGGGTCTGTTATTAAGGTAAGATTTAAACCAGTTTAATAAAACATTCTCAATGCCATACGCTTTTAGTTTCAAAAGTAAGATGAGATGATTTACTTTGTCAAATGCATTAGACATATCAGTATAAACGACATCAATTTGCGATCCCTTATCAAGTTCAGTAGCTATTTCGGAGACAAAGGAAGCCAAATTAATTACAGATAATTATAGACCGACCTCGTCTAAAACCACGCTGAAAATCGGATAATGAGGAACTCATGTGATTGTATATCATAGGGTAGAGAAGCTTCTCGAACAACTTCCCAAAACAGGGTGAAATAGATGTAGGTCTATAATTTATTCATCGCCTTTTTTAAAAACGGGTACAATTCTCGCTCTCTTCCACTCCTCTGGATATTGACCTGTCTTTAAAGAAAAATTGAAAATAATATAAAAAGGCAAAGTAAGGGCATTACTGCAGCGTTTGATAAAGGGTGGTGGTATGTTATCGGGCCCGGCTCCCTTTTGAGTGTCAATTATTTTAATATATTTCAAAACTTTGCGATTCACATAGTACAGCTGCATTAATCGTGTTAAAGTATAGGTTTTGTATGTTTTCAATTGAATTTCGATAAATTACTTCAGTTTGTTTTTCATTTGTTTTTCAAAAAACAAATGAAGCTATCAGCGTTAAAGTGGTGTAACCCACAATTTTTTTCTACAGGCCTCTACGCGGTGCGGGAGGAGTGCAAGTTTTTTTTTAAAAAAAAAAAAAAGGAGTGCAAGTTTACGTAACTGTTATGTAGCGCTGCACAAGGGATAATTTCAACAAGATTTTTCTGACAATATTCAATAGCAAGTCCATTGAAAAAAGTGCCTAACAAATTAGTTAATTGTTGGTATTAATAGACAAGCCATCTGGCACTTTTTTCACAATATATGCTAATTTAAGTCATCAGAGCTTTAATCATCATTCTGATGGAATTCCTGTCCAATGTTAATCCGGGCGTTCAGGAGGTGTTCAAGACTTGGTTTCGGTGGGATATGCTAATAGTAAGAAAGTGTAGCATTCTCACAATTTAATATATATAATACGTCCTAAGTGGCCGGTAATTCATATATTTTTAACAAACTTTTGAATATCTGTAATGACACGCAGTATAGGTGTCTGGATTTCGAGTTGCGGACACCAGTCTGTCACACCATACCATGCATCATATCTAATGACTCACCAGATTCTAGTGCTGTATTTTAAAGCTACCTCCTCATACACATTTAATAGGACAAACTACTGTAAAAACGGCTTCTTTGGATTTTTATATACATTAAAAACGTAACTAATATCCAATATTTACGGTTTATTTTTACATAATGTTAAAAGGTAAATAACAGAAGTATTTTCTTAGTTATTTTTGCATACAGCAGTACACTGTAATGTTCCAGATATCAGTTTACAATATAATAAATTTTGTACTTTGAGTGTCTGACAAAAAGTTCATATTTACATGAGGAATTTTGACAATTTGAATAGCTTAGCAAACACCATAATTAATAATAATAATAATACTTCATTTATTTGTGGAAACACGGGTTATATAGAAGCTGACATGTGCAAAATACGCATAATTTCACAGTGTCCGGCCAAACAGTTGGCATATAAATATTGAATACATTCACTCACATGCACTTCGACAGACTAAACCAGGTGTAACATGTTGCGTTTTTCAATAATGTTACATGAGCGTGCACACATGGATTTAATAAGTCGGTCAGAATTCAAACGCGATGATAGTTACATGGGTCGATTTTAATGGTAATTAGATGTCAAAGTAATATTGTGACATGAATAAAGTCAATAAAGTCCAATGTCAAAAATTAGACAATGAATTTAGGGATTTATCATTTAAAAATTCAGACACTGTATGGTATATTTTATTAGTCAGTAACTTGTTTAATTGTTTTTTAAATAGCATAAGGTTTTTCTTAGACCTTAGTGGTTCCGGTAAACTGTTGTAAATTTTTGCCATTACAAAAATACTTTTCTGCATGAAGGTAGTTTTACAGGCTATCAAATGAAGTTGGTCACATCGTCTTGGCTTCAGAGCTCGTGTGAACAAGTGTGAGTGCATTTAGACATACACGGCAGTTTCGTAGATATAAAGTGAAGGAACAGTCAGTAGTCGAAGATCTTTAAAATATGGTTTGCAGCTATCTGTTCTCTTCAATCGACAAATTGCTCTGACACATCTTTTTTGCGCCTTAAGAACTGAGTTCACATTAGTTGCGTAGCCCCAAAATATTATACCGTATCTTAATATGGACACAACATAACTGAGTCTCTATCTACAACTTTGCTAAGCATATATAATGTATATGCATAAGTGTTGAGTTTAGTGCAAATACTCTCTAATTGTGCTTTCCAGTTAATTTTGTCATCCATCTGTATGCCTAGGAACTTTGTTATATTTGTGCCTCCGATGTGTGTACCTTTGTACTCTACGTTTATCTTACTAGGTATTTTTCTCAACTTAAAATTCATGATATTTGTTATTTCTAAATTGATTTTGAAATTATTACTTTCAAGCCATTCTATTAATGAATTTAAACTTGTATTTACTTCATTTTCTTTAATATATGTCATTGTACAATCGTCCGCAAAGCGCACCATTGAGTGATGGGATGCTTTAAGCATGTCATTAATATATATTATGAAGAGCAATGATCCCAAAATACTATTTTGTGGTACTCCATTTAGTTTGTTTAGTTCTTGTTTTATTGCAATTAATGTTTTATATCACCTACCATCCATCACCATGACTGCTTGGTTCTTTTGAAATTCTCATGTTGACAATTGATAATATGTGTTAGATGTAAACAATATCTCATTGTTATAGAAATATTACTTATAGTTTTCATTCTCTAATAATGTTCATTTATTATAAAGAACACACAGGGACATGACCTTGGTTCGAAATTAAATATTTAGGTGCACCACACATATAAAACCAAAAAACATATACAGTAGGGTCACTATAAATTCAATGACAATTTTTTTAATTTCTCTGACACTATTCAAAGTATGACCATCTGCACACATTTAAGTACACAATTTACTGAACATTATATTAAAGTGTACATTTCCATAAATATCCATCACTTTTGTAAATGCTTTCTGAATTTAACAAGGGCAATTCGGGGGACTGGCGATTGTTAACAAAATTGCTTGAATTTTAAGAAAGCAATTTCTTGAATGTGGCAGTTAATAATTCTTACAAATTTCAGTAAAATATTTCACAGAATTGGCAGTCATGAACATATTAATTGAAATGCATAAAGAATGTTTCACGAAATGTTTTGTTATTTCCACACTGCCTTCTCTTTATATAGTCGCCTTAGTGTGGAGAACCTTGCATATTTATATTTACAAAGTTTGTGTTTACTGATTTTTGTTGGAGCAAAACTTACAAAAGCCTCTCGCTTAAAATAGTAACTACAACCATTGTTGTGTTCACAAATTTTTTTTTATACGTCCTGAAAAATTACATAAAAATCACATCCAAAGTATTTACTCTACAACAATGATATATTGTCTGGCACACTATAAGTTATATACATCCACCATTTTTCACTAAGTTGTCTCTAATATTAAAATTTGTTTGGTCGCCTCTCGGGCACAAAAATGAGTAATGGGTATTTGCGTGCGGTGGAGCAGGTGCTGCATCCTTGAAAAAGTGCGAAAGTGACAAATACATATTATCATTTCAGATTTCGATTTTATCAGACACACACTATTTGTGTCGAAAAATTTATGTAAATATATTATGTTATTCTTTTTTTTGTTGGTGTTGTAGATTAATATGTGCAAATACGAAAATGTATTAGTCTTTTAACTACATACCTAGGCGATTCGAAGGCAATTGGGATTTTAAAAAGTAGCAAAATGTAAACTACGAGGTATTGAAGCAAAACTTAAAGAATTGTACATTGTTAATTTAAAGAGAGAGTACAAATTAGTTACGGAGCCCCAACAACAATCAAAGTGGCAAAAACCGCCGCAGTATGTAGCGAGGTGTAGCAAAAAATATGATAATGTGTATACCCACGCAAATGATATATGTATAGCCCTTCCACACAATAAACTGTAATATAAGGCTCACGCCAGCTAAGGAAGCTCAAAAACAAGGCCTAGTCGTATTAACCAGGAACAAAATTCTTTTCCTGGACGTCAAAATTGTATCATTGCACCGAAACTAGAGCGGACAAAAATAGTACTACCCAAAATAACAAGAGATTCCCATCGCGTAAAAACAACACAATAAAAACAATATTTACTCACCTCGCCTGGTCATAGCTCCTTCGGACCGTTTGTAAAATCCAATACGACGATTTTATCAATGAAATAAAAAATGGTCTAACAAAAAATCACCAATTTTGTTTTGACGTTTGTCGACGCATTGACGTTTGCTGCCAAATGCAATGCAGTGAGCACCACAGATTTGAAAACTTTTATGTACTTGGATTCTTGGATTGCAGGCACCATAAAAAAGTCTATGGCACTGGCAAAATGTCATTATAGTTATTTATAATACAGATCAAAATAATTATTTTTGATTCAAGTGCGGAAAGTTAGTCATTATTCACGAGTCTCGAGGCTTCTTGGCCCGAGCCGGGAGGCGGAGTTCAAGACTCGAGACAAGTGAAAATGAGAAACCCGCACGTGTATTAAACTACGTTTTTTAATACATTTGCGAAAAAACTACATTTAAAGTAAAATGAAACAGTATTTCAATAAAAGCTTATTTTATTTCTTTGTTTCACAGTGGCAACTGTTGCCAGTATTCAACCACATTAAAATTACTATTCTAGTGGCGCGGCGCGCAGCGGTCTCGCGTAATACTCACATCCGGCAGTGTTGGGCCAAATTTAATTGTTCTGACAATTGAAGATTAATAATTAATTAATTGTCAATTGCGAAACAACAATTAACGCAATTAATTAATTAACAATTAGTTAATTATTAATTGAGGTTCTCGCAACTAACAATTGATCAATCGTTAATCGCGTATGTCTACAATTAACAATTAATCAATTTTCAATCTTTTCAATGTTTTTGATTAACAGTTAAAACAGACAATTATGATAAATTTATATGGGGGTGGGTTAGACGGTCAGTTAGGGGGTCGGTTAAGGGGTCGGTTAGGGGGTCAGTTAGGGGGTCGGTTAGGTGGTCGGTTGACTGTCAACCCTGACCATGAGACCTGTAAAAGACCCGAAACGTCGGTTTGTTTGAAGAAACAAATATACACGATTTAAATCCGGAAAAATAGTTATGTGTAACAATTGCGAAAACCTAAGAACTCGAGCTTTATTTATTTTTATTTAATTATTTATTGTAAAGAAAAACACAAATCACATTTCGTAAAACGGAAAACACAAACAAATGGTACTGCTTATTTCTATAAGAAATTTCTTCCTGCAGACCAAAATATAGGACACAATAATTACGATAACAGGATTACGTGCACAATAAAATAAAATTAAATTTTGTAATAAAATAATAATAAAAAAAGAACAGCAAATATATTAAATTACTACAGGCTGTATAAATACTTAGGTAAATACATAATAGGGGTTAAAGTATGAAATTGCCGATTTGTACTGAAAATCTAAATTGTTTATTTTTTAAATTTTTAACAAATTTATTTAATCAAAATAGTTGCCATTATTATCTACTTATACATTGCTGCCATCTAATGGGAAGGTTATTAATGCCTTTGCGATAGAACTCCGACGATCTAGACTGCACAAACTGTGTGAAAGCATTTTGTACTGCCTCCTGGGAAGAAAACTTCTTGTCACGTAGATAATTGTCCAAATCACGAAAAAAATGGTAGTCCGTTGGAGCAAGGTCTGGTGAATACGGAGGATGACGAATGGTTTCTAACTGCAGTTTCTGAAGGGTCAAAATGGTTTCTCGTGCTGTGTGAGGTCTCGCGTTGTCGTGGAGCAATAATGGTGAAGATCGATTCATGAGTCGGGGCTGTTTTACTGCTAGTTTTGTCAACATGGTTCGGAGTTCGGCACAATAGACATCTGCCGTTATTGCTTGACCAGATCGGAGAAAACTATAGTGAATAACACCATGCTGAGACCACAAAACAGTTACCATTACCTTTTTATTGGTAAGTTTTGCTTTAGGACACTGTTGTGGCATTTGACCTGGGGTCAGCCATTGCATTTTTCTTTTCCGGTTATCATAAAGAATCCACTTTTCATCACATGTTACAATTCGATCCAATATTCCTTCATTTCTGTACCGGTTCAACAAGGCAACACAAATTTCAAGACGCGTTTCTTTCTGCAGATCAGTCAAATCATGAGGCACCCATTTTTCGTATTTTTTTATTTTATTGATTTGACGCAAGTGAGTCAATATTGTGGGTAAGGTAACGTTAAACCATGCCGCTAATTCCTGGGTAGTTTGACTAGGATCGGCTTCCACTATCTCTCTTAATTCATCGTTATTCACCTGTGTGGGCGGTCTTCCTCGTGGCTCGTTCTTTAAGTCGAAATTTCCATCACGAAAGCGTTTAAACCAAAATCGCACGGTGCGTTCATTAGTAGACCCCTCTCCAAACGCAGCATTGATATTGCGGGCTGTTTCTGCCGCGTTAGTTCCGCGTCGGAACTCGTATTCAAAAATCACTCGAATTTTCGCAGTATCCATCTTTCTTGTCTAAATTGAATAACAAAAACAATTGAAAGCCGATATTCAAATGTTTCAAATTAAAAAAAAAAATCACAGAAACCATTTGAAAAAAGTTTCATTCGAAAACCTCAAACCATGAAGATTCTATGAAAATTCAAAGAACCTATTGCAATAAAACGGCAATTTCATACTTTAACCCCTAATATTATAATATCTATAAAATGGATGGAACAGAGGATAAATAGTGCTCCTTGACTCTGTCGTGTACAGTAATGGGAAGTGCGTTCCAAAGTCTGACCGCATGAACAGTAAAGGAGTGAGAATAAAAACCAAAATTGAATGATGGAAAAGATAATTGGAACCTAACGAGAGAGCGACAAGGCTTATTCTGGGGCCTGAGAAAGCTGAAACGCTCTCGCAGATACCTGGGATGCAAAGGATTATGTAGAATGTTGTAAAGAAGAGAGACGATATGCAAATTCCTGCGGAGACGAATAGGAAGGCACTTGAGCTGATTGCGATAGTGTGAGATTCGATCATATTTACGAAGGCCAAAGATGAACCTTACACATAGATTTTGCAACCGTTCAAGCTTATTTAGCAGTTCTTCAGTAGCATCTAAATAGCAGGAATCTGCCTAGTCTAAGAACGGGAATATAAGAGTTGAGCTAAACAGGTCTTGGTTTTTAAAGGCATAAAGTTTTGGAGGCACTTAAACTTCTGTGGCTATCGACATGAAATTTGATATATTTGTATTACAACCTGATTGTTTGCTTCTAACATAGATGCAAGTGGCATTTTCAAATTCTAAAACAATTTATTTCTAAAAATTCTTCTGGTATACAGTTTCTGACTTCTTCTAAATACAAAAATACAATATATAAGATCATTGCAAAAATATGAAAAAAGTACCCGCCATTCCCCGTTAAACAGCACATTTATCTCGACAAAAATCGAAATATCTTCAAATTATGTTAGCAACCTCTTTGCGTATTCCACTCGCACCCGGCTTAGAGATATGCTCTAGGTTGCCCGGTGTTATTTTAAAGTTTGAATACGGTTGGAATAGTTATTTTGTGATTGATTGGTGACACATTGACTTAATATTTAATGTAGGTACCTACTCTGTGCTCGATATTGAGGACTTAAAATCAATATTAGATAATATTTTGCAAGAGGATTTGAAAATTATGTCCTACTTAAACTTAGGACGTGTAAATAAATAATCTAAGATGGTGAAATACATTTCATTTTTAGATCCTTTGCGACAAGAAGAAATAAATATGTTTTACGACGTAAGCATTTCTTTTGTAACAATGTATTAAGGTACTATAATTACAAAACGTCGGGATTTTTCCTAATTTGTAAATAAATTAGCCAAAGCTATTGTCTTTAATTTTCTGTAATATTTATAAACCATGCACTCCGCGCCGCCAGGGTTGACGATTTTTTCCACGCGCTCATCACCGACGAATTTGGTCGGCGGGCATTGACTTTTATAAGTCAATGTCGGCGGGCGTAAATTCGGCGTAAATTAGTTTTGTCTCATGAATTATCACATTTATTATGAATAATTTATAATACAATTAAAGGGAGTTACGTTCCTGTAGTAAAATCATATTCATGTATGAATGTACATAGTATCTTTATTATTTTTATGTGATTTTTTTGCCGACATTCTAAGTTGATTATTTTAGTAACAGAAAGTACAAGGTTTTCACGCCGAACATGTCGCCTTCGACGATTTTACGATCCATGCACAATGCACGTGTCTAGAATTTTATTTACTACATAATTTGATACGCTTCCTTCAAAATTTTGCGTTACAGGCTGCTCAAATGCAAAGAGATTTCTATAGAGGATATCCAAAAGCTTATCATCCTTTAACTTACTTCCTTGATTCTGACTACCTTTACCAGTGCCCACCAGAGATGACTTAGTAAGTTATTTATTACTTAAATATCAGCTTATTATCTTTGATAGTATAATGGACTAGCCCATACACACAATACGTCATTATCTTTTTTATTATGTCTTTTGAATTCGAAAAACTATTCACTTTAATAGCAGTAGAGCTTTTTGTGAAAGACGTCTTCCAGAGAAGTACTGCCACTTAACCTATTTCTGCCGCAAAGCATTAATAATGCTCTCATTGTTGCGTTCCGGTTTTAAAGGGTATGGGAGGGATGCTAGTGAAACAGGCACATTGGACTTTTCAACTTATGTCCAGGATGATGGCGCAGTGGATTGCCACTGCGATCTGATGGGCATTGGCCCATTAGATCTTTGAGCATTTAAAGCTCTGAATCGCACTTCAACGGACATGAACAGACGTGTAGTTTACCATCAGGCGCACGACTTGTTCGTCATTTAGTGCCATAAAAATTAGCTTGTATTCCTGTGTGGGCTTAAGTACACCCATCAAAAATAAATCCGAATTACGTAAACTAAATTGGTCCTTTTTTCAGTGCGTATCTGAACTACCCAGCATTCCACGTGAAATACAAGCAACCAGTTAGCTTGCCTCCGACGACAGCACGTACCTCTGGCTTTCCTCCATTACCAGAACGCACTGTGGCTGGCCGCTTTAATAAGGCTGCTTGCATGGCTTACAAGAGATAACCTTATTGATTCAAAATTTTCTTTCAAGAATTATTGTAATTATTTTTTTTTTTTGTTGTAAAATACAGAATATTAATTTCTTGGAAATTATGTAGTTTGATTAATTTTGTAGGCTATAAAGTAACGTGCAAACAAGTAAAAATAGTAAGTAGTAAAAATATTTATTTTATCATTTAAAAAAAATAATATAATCTTAGAATATAATATATCATGTAGGTAGTAGGTACTCACTGTATCATACGTAATCTTGTTCGATTAAAGTACATAATGCGCACTATAAGTTTCCGGAACTGGCCACTTACATAAACAATATTTAAAAAGTAATTACAACATTTGAAAATGGAACTCTTTGGCTGTAGAATACAGTTTGTTTCATATTTAACACGTGAACATTTTCGTAGTATGATTTTCTGTGACTTTAAGTATAATTTAACAACTCAGCAGACCTTCGCTCGGCTTCAAACTGCTTTTGGCGATGAAGGACCATGTAAGACGACTATTTATAGCTGGTTTGCAGAATTCAAACACGGTTGTGTGAATCTCAGTCCCGAATTTCGTGATTTTTTTTAATATGTAATAGACACACGCTTGGCCACAATCTCACCTGATGTTAAGCGACGATGTGACCGACGTTGGGACGTTTTTGCCTAAAAAATGCCTATTCACTCTAGCCTTGAACATGGCCCAAATTGTATTTTTCAGGAAATACAGATAGTAGAGCATTCCATTCCTTTGCCATACATATCAGAAAGGAGGAAGCAAAGCGCTTAGTGCGATATCGTGATGGTCGCCAGTCCTGCTGTGAACAACAAAAACATCGTTGCTGTGCGCCGTATGATCAAAACAGACAGGCATGTGACATACCATGATGAGATTCGGGCATCTTTATCAATACTACACAAACATTTGGGTGTGTAAAAGCTGTGCTCTCGGTGGATCCCACAAAATTTGACTAAGGCTCAAAAAACGGATCACGTCACTTGGCGCAATGTCATGCTTACCAGATTCAACGAAGGGGCGTCAAATTTGGTGTGGGACATAGTAACAGGTGACGAAACATGGATTTACAGTTACGATCCCAAAACAAAGCAGTAATCGAGCGTATGGGTCTTTCGAGATGAGCCGAAACCAACTAAAGTGGCGCGCGTGCAAAGTGTGTCTAAGCGGATGACTGCTTATTTTTTTAATAAAACTGGACACGTGGTTACTGTTGCTTTGGAGAATCGCTGTACCGTGAATAGTGATTGGTACACGACATCGAGTATATAACCAGAAATAAAGACAAAATAAGGGCTATATATTCCTGGTAATACATTAGCGATACAGCTCTTATAAATATCAACTCCCGTTTGCACTGAAATATAGACGGGCCAACTACTGATCTGTGTGTACGTATATTCCAGAAAATATTCTGTATTTATTGTAATAAAGATAATATATATCTAACAATGCCATGCTGTTCTATTCGGTGGTGTGGGGAAAACAGCAAAACATCTAATTACAAAACAAACGGAATCACATTTCAGCGGTAATTAAATATTAAATATGTAATTTTGCAATTTTCGTCCATTATAGCAAAGTTAACTGGTCGTTTTGAAGTGAAACAATTGACGACACCCATTGACGACACACGTCAATTGTTTCGAACTCGGGCTAGCAAATCGGAGCGCAGTTGTCACAGTAATGATATGGCGGAATAGTTTTCAAATAACAACATTTCATCCCTATTTCTTGTTATATACTCGATGATACACGACCATTTGTTTGCCGGAAGTTATTGACAAACTTCGTAAAAATAACCGTAAACGCCGTTCTATCCACACATATTCGGGCCGTGCCCGGGACGTGGACGGCCGTGCTCCGCCAGGGGCTCAAAAAAATATCGTTGCGTATATTTTGTATGAACTCGTCCACACTAGACATGACCGTGTCCGGGCCGGCGCGCGGCGCCGGGGCGGGCCCGCTGTTCATATAAACTAGCACGCCTCGTCCACGTCCCGGGCACGTCCCTGATGTGTGTGGATACTCCTTTATAGTGCACCCCACATTGATGTAAGTCAATGGCGCCCCACGTGATTTTAAATAACATTGATATTTTAGTCAACGAATAAAAAAAGGAAAGGCGACTGGTAACAAAAATAAATAATTTCTTTGCATTATATTAATATGTCAACACGTCAACGGTGTCCAGAGCTACAAAATAAACACAAAGTAATCATAGATAGATTCAAATAGATTGAACCACAGACAAGTAGAAACTCGAAACCCGAAATCTCTGCTCCAAATTAAATTTTCCCTTTACGACTTGTCTATGACTACAATGATGGCGGTGAAATCCAAATAACAGGCGCCAATTAATATAGCATCAAAATTTTTGTAAATATCAAATTTCCTTGTAGTAAAAGTTAAAAAAGTACAATATCTATCCATAGAAAAATGTCAGTACTCTTCATTGAATATGCAAGGCAATATGAAATCGATACATTTTACGAAGTTCGTAGGTTTGTTTTAAACATTAATACTAGATCTGTCGTCTAAATTGTAATTAACCTTTACTCGTGTGTTGCAGGCGTGTCAACGCCACAGGGATTACTATAGAGGATATCCTAAAGCTTATCATCCATTAACCTATTTCTTAGATTCGGATTATGTATATCAATGCCCAGCAGAAATGAATGCGTAAGTACTTTTAATATATCTACTTTTACAGTTTTAATTAATTACCTATAATAAGTTGCTTATATCTTGACTACCTCAGTGGCCCAAGGTTTGCACTTTGAGGTAGTCCCGGGTTCGATTCCCGGTGGGACCAATTTAGGAAATCTGCTATTCTAAATTGGTTCTGGTCTGGATGTTCTGGGTAATCTCGGTGAAATTCCGATGCTCTGGTACTCATAGCAACAGGGAATTACCTAGTTTGAGATAAGGCGTGTTTGTCTGGCACATTGTTATTACTTTCTGTACATCTACCACTTCATACTTTCCTCATCTCTACAGCGTCTATCTCAGCTTCCCGATGTACCACGTGAAGTACAAGCAACCAGTGGGTCTTCCTGGTGTAACGGGCAGGACTAGTGGATTCCCACAGCTGCCTGACCGTACCCTTGGAGGCAGATTTAACAAGGCCGCTTGTAAGGTCTTCGTTAGATAAAAAGCTTATCTGAACCTAGACAAGAACGGGAGAAATCAGCAATAAGTACCGCAAAAGCTGTGTGGACTCTTTCTAGAATACTGATCAATAAGGAATGCTCTCAACGAGTGTTGACCTCTAAAGGACAAGATAAATAGACAACAAGAAGTCATTTTCAAGAACTGAATTTAACCAAAGAATATAGCACATTTTAGCCCGTCTTTGAGAACAAAGAATCGTAAAAACCAAACGAGCTGTTGGACATCGTTACAACGCTTTCATCAATGTCTAAAAAAATCATAGCCAAACAACTCGTACAATCCGAAAACTTATTTCATGATTGCTTTTTTAAATTTTGACAAGTAGTCAAGTCGTCTGGGTTCCACCTTTAAGAACACTAAAACAGAGATAAATATTAATTGGTATGAATCGGAACCCAAGAACTCGATATCAATTGGTTGCCAAATATGCAAATTCTGTGGACAAACCAACGTTAGACCAGCTCGCTCCAAACTTTCGTAAGTCTATGAAGATAACATATATAACATGACGTATTTGTTTCTTTCTTCTTTGTGCTGTGTTTCAACTTAAATTTCATAATGTGTGGTAAATCCACATGTCGCCAATAAAAGGCAAAATTTTTTAGGAACAATTACGATATAATAGATAAAACGCGCCCGAATCACTTAAAGCTTTATACAGAAACAACACAATAAAACTGCTACCAAACACTTTTTATAAAATTCTTTCATTTTTTCCTTGCCAAAGTTAAAAAAACTACAAGTTAAACTCAAGGGTGTTATACCTAAAGTCTAAAGTAAAACGATGAGACAAACTCCGGTATTCTGGACATCATAATCTTGAATTCAATTAATCCGATACTCCCAGTACTGTCAAGCTTGAGCTCTTCTAAAATCTGAAAGTAATTCTAAATATACATCTTTACAGATAAAGAAACTGACTGCAGCATCTTAAATGGCAGATTTAGTCTGATCGCCATTGGAAAAAATCTTTCTTTAAGTTTATCAAAAGGCTGAAAAAGCACATACGCAAGAGTTTGCAATTAGTTAACAGCATTGTGAATTAGTACATACTATATTAGCACTTTCTCTATCAAGAGCAGTATTTTCCGTTGGCAGATTGATGGTTAGATTGGTTAGACTTGAAATTACTGGAAATGCAATTAGTAATTACAATAACTTTGCAATGTTAACGGTACTGTGAGTTTTATGTGTGAGTTTTGTGTGGTACGTACAATATTGGCAATTTTCTTCTTCAATTCATTGTCGAGATATCTGTTATAGCAGTTCGGGTCACACGTTATCCGGTCTATAATTTCAGTGATGTCCCTCTCCGAGATTTGATTGTCTTCATCTAAATCTGAGTACATACGAGTGTTATTACTTTAGTAGCAATAGATAGGAGCTCCCTCTATTTAGTAGTAGTAGAGCTTCTTGTGAAAAGGTTAGGACTGGACTCCAATTCACAAGACCGGACTCATAAAGACACACTCCACTGCTCGATGTATTACAAGCCTATCGAGTTCTCGAATAGATCGAGATCGAATTCGACATTTGTAGTGCACGAGTCTATGTTTATGTAGCAAGTTGAGCTCAACTCTGATGCGCGGTGTTGTGGGGTGGTGCGTTAAATTGTAGCATAATTACTGTAGTATAATTACCTAACTATTAATATCTTCTTATTTAAAATCACGGCTTTGGGCTTTTGTTTTTTATTTCATATTTGGCAATAATATCTAGTTGTTCCGTAAAATTGAGTCTTGCTAACTAGTAACTAGTAACTCTGTAGAGTAGAAGTCGCTTCGCGACGATTTTTCGTACTCGTGTTTTGTTCAAAACTTGAGTTGGGTTTACGACTTGAGTTAATTTTTTTTTTTTTTTTTACGTGCGCCATTGACCCGTTGACTCGACTCGGACTCGTGAGTATTTTAGTCCACCGAGCTAAATTGAGTCGAGTTTATAAATGTAGACTTCCGGGCTCTAGTTTTTTAGAACACTAATTACATTCAACAACTTACCATATAACTTGAAAGCCCACTCCGCTTTGGCTTCCAGAGAACAATCGGGGCTCATGGCCGAGGCTAGGTCCAATATATCTTCAAATGAGAAGTGTCCATCTTTCTTTGATGAGAAAACTTTGAAGAAGCGGTCTTGGAAAGGATTATTCTGAAAATGTACATGTCATAAATTAATACATAATATAGATAATTACAATACACTATAGACAAGACAGAAGTCGTGTGGTTTCCAGTCACGAAAGTAAGCAATATTCATGACTAATAACTACTATACAAATTAAAGCACCGTCACTAACATCATCATCGTTAATCTATCATACGTGGCACTCCTGTGTACGAGGCTTAAAGAAAGGATTAGACTGGTTATATATATATATTTTTATATCTACAGTAGATATACCTACCAGTTAACCAAGGTAAACAACTCTTTCATGGGGAACTGTATACGTTTTTACAATAAGATTCCGGAGCATATATTAAGTTTATCATTTCCTAAGTTTAAAAACTACATTAAAAATATTTTGATCGAAAAATCATATTACAAAATTGAAGACTACGTGTTAGATAAAGATGTATGGAAAGACGACATGGCTCCTGAATCCACACAAATTTGATTCAAAATGTATTCCATAGCATTTAAGTTTATTTGAAAAGAGCAATCCCTAGAGTTTCTTGCTCGTTCTTCTCAGGGAGGTCAGCGTAGTGAACGAGCAGTACCTTAAATGTGACGTTTTCAAGTGTAAATTTATTTTACCTATGGAATAAATCATCTTTGACTTTGACTTTGACTTTGTTACTTACTAGAGCCGCAACATTTATGAGAAATGACCTTTTTTTAGGTCACCCATTTCTAATTAGTAGGAATCTAGTTTTGAGTTTACTCCTCAAGTTATAAATAGAACACGAAACCTAAATATTCAAACACAAAACCTAAATATATCTAACACAAGATTTTATAAATTTAGAAACCCGTAGTTTTCACCTTCCTAATAATAGTGTTTCGGGCCGCACATAAATGTTTGAGTAATATGGCTAGACGAACAAGTTGTGGAACTGGTGCTGGATTGGGTCACGTTTCTTGACAAGCAGCGATTTGAAAGCGAGAATAAACGCGATTAAACAATTTAATAGGTATTTTCACCAGTGGCATAGCGTTAATTTCTGCCCCCTCTATTTTCACGATTAAAAAAGTACTTAGTTCGTTCAGGCAGACTCGACTCGAAAGTGTTTTTAAGTTTAAGTTCGGCTGCCTTCGTCACATTTGTGTTGTTCAGGATACCTATCTAATAATTAAGACTAAGTTAGCTGCGCTCCCCTATGGCTAAGCATATTTACGGCAAACCTATTCAATTTTCGTCTACATCTTCACTTTCGGTCAGATGAGATTGTGGACAAACGCATATCAACTTTAAATAAAAAAAATATTAAAAGTACTTGCCCTCAAAACATCAAATTTTTGTAATATTTCTTCTTTACTAAATCTGTGATTGTAGTTCGCCTTTAGTTTCTCGGGAGAGATGGAGTAGAATTTCTTCATTAAACTGAAAAAAATGCATTCGTATAATCGCATCTATTATTATTTTTGTCTGTATCGATAGGTACCTACTTCATTTCGTATACACGATTCTTTTTTTTCTACGAATCTTTGGAGTATTCTTACCATAAAGGTGGAACACGAGCCTATATCTAGTCCCCCGGTGATGGAAAGGGAAAGTCGGAATTACATCGTACAATTCTTTCACACACTCTCCGTGATATATCCTGTAGAACACCGATAAGCAGTTAACTTTACTAAGCTTTGCCTCTACTAAGTCCAAGTCACAAATAAGCCTGTTGAAAGTCTTGTCAACTGAATCCAACCAATGTTTCAACCTATCAAGTCGGTACATACATCGTCATATTATTGAGTAAATCGTCCTCAAGTAAATTGTTAGGTAGCCGATTAGGTTTACCAGCAAATTGAAATTGCAAACACTTTGTATCTAATTATAATTTGTCATCATGTTCGGAGACATTATCAAACAAAATGAAGAGAGCGCATTCCTTACAAGAATTTTACGAAGTGCCAACGCCTGCCCTTTCTATTATAGCAATAGAGCACTAAAAATGTTTGCTTTTTTTAATTTAATCAGGCACTTCGTAAAATTTTCAATTACTTATATTTTTTTAACTAATGTAGATAAGAAGCGTATAGCTTTAATTCGTGAAAGTAGCAAATACCTATTTGTAATTATTATTATTATTAAACAATTATTTGTAATACATACTTATTCTGATGTCAGAATGGCTGGTCAATTAATTTTTTAAATTTCTCAGAATACATCAAAGGTAGCAATTATTTAGAAAATATAGCAAATAGGTAGCAATTCTTGAATATACACTCAGTGCCAGATGCCACAGGCTACCAGCCATCCAGACGGTCACGATATGGAGATAATTCGAAATAAACTATTATTATTAAATCGAAAAGATCTGAGGGGCACTGCCACCTGTCGCCCTGAGACATAAGTAGCCAAGTCCCATGTGCCTGTAATTTCAACAGCACCCTTATACCCTTCAAAACCGGAACGCAAACGCAGTATTGCTCACATTACTGTTTGGCAACAGAAATACGTAAGGTGGCAGTATCTACCTCCCTGGACGAACTCCTTCACAAGAAGCTCTACTGGTACTAAAAATAAACCTATTTTTAATGCAGAGTTTAGAAGGCATTTATCTAGTAAGTACTAACTATATTTCTTCCAATCAGAGATCGCTATTCGCAATGTGATGAAATAAAGATCTCTCATAAAAGGAAATTGGAAAGCGCAAAATTACTAATTTTTCCGTAGGTACTGGCTAAACCGTAACTTACTGTAAAACTTCTCCTTTTGTCAGATAAGTCAGTGTGGAATAATCTTCCAAAATATCTTCAGTCAAGCCAGGATACGATTGTGAACACCCCATGTTACTCGTTTTATCTACACAAAAACTTAAACACACTTAGGTTATAGGTTTATACACAGAATACTTAACCACACAGAGTATCTACATGTTTATAAAACCTTATATATCGAAAAGCAATTTGTAACAACTCTACAATTAAATGCAACAGCGCAAAAATGTTTTAAAATCCCTTTTAAACAAAAACCACTTGAATAAATATTGTAATACCGTAATGGACGGTGTTCTGCATATGTGTTAAGCTACAAAATGACAGTTACGAAATAATGAGCGTTGTAGATTTTTGGCAATTTTTTTTTATATATATATAATATATAAAAATGTGCTAAGCAAAATTTGACACATCAACAAAATTACTACTTGATATGTCAAGTGTGGTAAAAACATTTTTGCAAAATACGGAAAAGTACATATAAATTATCGCCTAATCCTTGTAAACACCGAGAAATCACATTTTCATTGTGAACATGTATTAAATCTAGTAGCAGCAGTTTCATTTTTGTCAGTCAATGTGTTGTGATAAATAATCAATCACATTCTTTTACCAGCAGGTACTTAAATCTTTAATTCGAATGAATAGATGCTGAATTCAGACTCTAGAATTTTATTAAGCAATTCCTATAATTCATTTCACTTAAAAACGTTACCAATAATTTTGACTTCAGTAAAACATAATCGTTATCTTATACAAATTACTACCATATACCATTTATGTGAGCGTACATACATTCAACCACGCCTGTCATACTTTCTATTAGGCAGAAGTCACAAACCTCCATTTGCAACGCAACAAAACCAATTTCTCCTCCTTGAATCGCATGAGTCTCTTCATAGATGCCTTATTATTCTCGGTACTTTTAGCCTAAACTTTTTAGACATCCCCAATCTGATCAAGACATGTGTATACAGGTCTACCTCTTGCCACGTTTAAATGTACTATCATCCATCCTTTCTACATGACCACATCGCCTTTCACTACACGACGCTCTCTTACTACTATGTTCGACATTCTGTCTTTAAGATTATGGGCGCCTTCGATTAGACGCTTATAGAGGTACTGCAGTGGCGCATCTGTGGTACGGCTACTAATTGGGATACAATATCTAGGTTGAAAAATTGGCTCGCGCGTGTCATGACAATAGCGCGGCTGTTACGCTTCTAAATATTGTATGAAAATTAGTAGTTACACAGCTGCAGCACCACAATGGCGCCACTATAGGGCTTCTATAAGCGTCTAATTTGAAGACACCACACGTACAACTCAAAGCTCTCATACGTGGGGCGCACTATAAATTTCCGGAATGAGTAAGAAAAAAATACTGAAAATGATCAAAAATTAATTTATTGTTTCTCAAAATATTCTCCGTTAGCGTTAATGTATTTTTCCATACGAATGAACCAATTTTGAAAACATTTACTCCACTCCTCCGTGACAATCTATGAAACATATTTTTCATAGTTTTCGACAGCCTCTACAGGTGATGAAAATCGTTAAATCGTTGACCACGTAACTGGTTCTTAATAATAATAAATACATAATATAACATCAATCATGGTTGCATATGAAGGTTGAACCAAATAAAAAAACTAATTGGTTGTCATTTTCCGTTACCGTCATATTTCGCGGACCGTGACGTGTTCCCACTATGTCGTCACGTTTTATTATCGTTGGACGACTGTCGTGTCTAGCCTGTTCCCATATCACGACGATCTGTCGTGGACGATTTTTTATCGTTGAACGACTGTCGTGACAAGCTGTTCCCACTAGATCGTAACGACAATTTATCGTTTCACGACAGCCTCCTTGCCGATCTCTGGCTACGACCCAATGCTACTGCAAAGCGAGCAGAGGGCGCGGGGTACAAGAGGGGAGGGCAGGGAGCAGAATACGTGCGGACAGTAGGACGTGACGACAATAGGAGCTGCGACAATCTGTCGTCACGTTTTTGTCGTCTGACGACTGTCGTTCTAGCTGTTCCCACTGTGACGACAGGTTGTAACGACAAAAAATCGTGAACGATAGTTAATCGTGTCGTGCTATATGTGAACAACTTCATTGAAATATACAAGCCACGACACTGTACACTGCACGACAATCTGTCGTCACGACATAGTGGGAACGCGCCCTTACAGAAGCAGTAAAAAAAAAATTGTTTGTCAAGTTCCTAATTTCTTGTTCGTTAAATGTTTTTCAGTTAAAAAGAGTTAAATATTATGTATACGTTTGATTGACAGCTATCAGTTTTTGTTATAATTAAAACTTAAATTCCTGATGTCATGTTTTAAGTATTTTACATTTATCGAGTTCTTAGATTTTTGCGATTGTTACACATAGGAAATGAAACTATTTTTCTGGATTTAAATCTAAAAAATAATATATTTGTTTTTTCAAACAAACCGACGTTTCGGGTCCTTTACAAGTCTATGGTCACGGACCGTGACCATGGGACATATGGGTGGTATAGTTTACATTTAAATTAAATTCCTTTTTTTACGTACACGTTAGTACACTTCTTAAATGGCAGTGCCACTCAGAGCTTTAAATCGCAAAGATCTGAGGAGCATTGACTTGTCGACTTATGTCTCAAAGTGACGGGCGTAGTGACAGTGCCTTTAGATTATGGGTAAGTGTGGTACACAACTTGTTCACCCCGTCACTTGATATCATAAATATGCCAGTTTTAGTAACAGTAGAGCTCCTTGTCCAGGCAGTTCGTCTAGGGAAGTACTGCCACCTTACCATTTCTGCCGCCAAGCAGTAATGTTAACATTACTGTGTTCCGGTTTGAAAGGGTAAAGGTGCTGGTGAAATTACAGGCACATGGGACTTGGCAACTTATGTTTCAGGGTGTTGGGCGCAGTGACAGTGCCCCTCGGATCGTTGCGGTTTAAAGATCTGAGTGGCACTGCAATTGTTATGGACAGGCGTGAGCTTACCATCAGGCGCACGATTTGTTCGTCCCGTCACATGATGTTGTAAAAAAAGCTAGTTGTTAACTTGTACGTGGGGAGCACAATAAGTTTCCGGAATGAATAAGAAAAAATACATATAAATGGTCAGAAATGAACTTATTGTTGCTCAAAATATTCTCCGTTAGCGTTAATGCACTTTTTCACACGAATGAACCAATTTTGAAAACATTTATGCCACTCCTCCATGACAATCTCTGAAACACATTTTTCATACTCTTCGAAAGCCTCTTCAGGTGACGAAAATCGTTGACCGAGTAATTGCTTCTTAATTTTCGAAAATAAATAAAAGTCACATGGTGCCAGGTCGGGAGTGTACGCGGTATGGCTCTTCGGGTCAAGGTTGTTCACCTTCGAAAATTCATTTGTCTGTCTGGCTTATTTTTATGGGGTTTGTCAATAAATTCCGGCAAACAAATGGTACCATACCAATCACTATTCACAGTACGACTATTCTCCAAAGCAGCAGTAGCCACGTGTCCAGTTTTATTAAAAAAAGAAGTAATCATCCGCTTAGAGGCACTTTGCACGCGCGCCACTTTGGTTGGTTTCTGCTGTTTTGGGATCGTAACTATAAATCCATGTTTCGTCACCTGTTACTATGTCCCACACCAAATTTGACGCCCCTTCGTTGAATCTGGTAAGCATGGCATTGCATCAAGTGACGCTATCCGTTGTCAGTTATGATCATACGGCGCACAGCATCGATGTTTTTGTTGTTCATAGCAGTGGACGGGCGACCATCACGAAATTCGTGACTGAGATTCACGCGACCGCGTTTGAATTCTGCAAACCAGCTATAAATAGTCGTCTTGCATGGTGCTTCATCGCTAAAAACAGTTTGAAGCCGAGCGAAGCTCCGCTGAGCTGTTAA